TTGAGACAGAATTAAGAAAACTTTGTGCTGATAGCGTAAGTTTCACGGCAAAGGAGCTATTATGAATCACTCCAAAGCACTCAGCGTTAATTTGCTCTCCCCAGTTATTTTGCCCAATGCTTCACTAAAGAAAACATACTACCAAAAATGAACCTTAACACAGTGTCCTCATTGTACACCTTGGCCAATAGCACTCTAATCTCAAACTGTTCCTCAGTCTTGGAAACTGCCTCCCGGATCTTTAACTGTTTATTCAAAAAAGTGAGAAGAGCAAATGGGCTCCCACTCACTGTTCACTCCCAACATGCCCGTGATGATCAGAAACAGGCTAGATATCTGGAAGGTAAACTCAGTGCAAGTCTGCCACTTGAGTCATCATCTGCTGCCTCCCTGAGTGCACGCTGGCAGAAAGCTACAGTTGTTAGTGGAGCCAGGACTCGAATTCAGATGCCTGGCTATAGGACGTGGGTGGCTATCTCAAGCAGCATCATAACCACTAGGCCAAATGCCTGCTTGAAAGTATCATGCCTTCAGAATAAGAGTCCTAGACACTGATTTGTATCTTGAAGGTCTACTACTTGCATATTTAAGAAATGCAAACTAGGGTCAAGCATTGTGCAAGAACAGGTGGAGTCACCACTTTCGATGGTTGTATCCCATACTCGAGTGCTAGTTTGCAACCAAGCGACCCTACTTCTGATCCAGCTTCCTCCCAATGCATCCTGGGAGGCAACAGAGAATGGCTCAAGTATTCAGGCCCCTGACATTGAAGCAGGAGACTTGGATAAAATTTGAGGTTTCTGGGCCCGGCACAGTGGCCTAGCAGCTAAAGTCCTCGCCTTGAACACACCGGGATCCCATATGGGTACTGGTTCTAATCCTGGCGGCCCCACTTCCCATCCAGCTCCTTGCTTGTGGCCTGGGAAAGCAGTCGAGGATGGACCAACACCTTGGGACTCTGCACTCACATGGGAGACCTGGAGGAAGTTCCTGGCTCCTGGCTTTGGATCGGCACAGCACTGGCTGTTGCAGTCACTTGGGGAGTGAATCATCAGATGGAAGATCTTCCTCTCTGTCTCTCCTCCTCTGTATATCTGACTTTGTAATAAAAATAAATAAATCTTTAAAAAAAAATCTTGAGATTTCTGGGCCCACTGTGGTAACATAGTGGCTAAAGTCCTCGCCTTGCACACGCCAGGATCCCATATGGGCACTGATTTGTGTCCCGGTGGCCCTACTTCCCATCCAGCTACCTGCTTGTGGCCTGGGAAAGAGGACAGCCCAAAGCCTTGGGAACCTGTATCTGTGGTTAGAACCTGAAGAAACTCCTGGCTCCTGATTGGCTCAGCTCTAGCCGTTATGGGCACTTGAGAAATCAATCGGCAGATACACGATCTTCCCCTCTGTCTCTGAATATCTGGCTTTCCAATTAAAAAAAAAAAAAAAAGGATTTGAAGCTGTTGGCTTTGGCCAGGCCCCAACTGTTGCATGCATTTGGAGTATGAACAGGGGGTTGAAGATTCTTTTTCTGCCTTTCAGGAGCTAAAAATAAACACTAAAATAAAGCCAACTAACTTAAGGAGATAGATTCTAATGTATGACATTTGCCTCCATAATCATCATTCTATCTTTCCTCACACACAAAAAAGGACTTTAAGAAGAGCAGGAACCGGTAAAGTAGAAACTGAATTTGTAAAGCTTATAGACATTTTTTCTGACGAGGCTTTTCCTTGGAAGCATTTTTGAGAACTTTGTTATCTTGAACAAAGTAGAATGTTGTGTTTGGTATTTTGTCATTTGCTTAGCAGGGAAATCACACACACACCTATGCAAATTCACATATCCTTCCTGTAACACACAGGGTCATTAAATTACTACCCTTTAGTTCTGAAGGACATATTCTGCTCACACAGAAGTGAGAGCAAAATGTTTTGTAGTAATAGCTACATAAATTTTCCATTCTATATATACCAACAATTTTTACTCCATGTAAACTGCTAGGTTTCATTTAACATTGATTTACTTTTATGTTATTTGAAAGGTACACACACACACACACACACACAGGGAGGGAGGGAGGAGACAGAGAAAGCAAGAGGGATATGACATTTCATTATCAATTCAATTTCCAAAAGCCTGCTGCAGCCAGGGCTGGGCCACACTGAGGCCAGGAACTGAGAACTCAATCCAAGTCTCCCACGTGGATGGCAGGGACTCTGGTATTTGAAACATCATATACTCTTCCCAAGGGTGTGCATTAACAGGATTAGAAGTGGAAGAGCCTGCACTGGAACCAGGTACTCCAATAACAGATACAAGTATCCCAAGCAGTGACATCATCACTGTGCCTTGCACTTGTCCCTAATTGTTTGGGACTCAGGCACGAAAGTTTACAAGCACAAGCCAATTCTTTGCAGAGCCTTTATCAAAATGGTAGGTGTCTGGGGTAATCACTCAGATTGTCGTGGTTATGACACCTACATACCACATAAGGTACCTGGAGTAGATTCTCGCCTCTAGCTACAGCTTCTTGCTAATGTGGATGCTGCAAGGCAGCAATGATGGTCCAAGCAGCTGAGTTCTTATTGCCTAAGTGGGAGATCTGGATGGAGCTCCTGGCTTTTGAGTTTGGCCCAAGCCCAGGCCCGGCTACCATGGCCACATGCGGAGTGAACCGATAGGTGAGAACACACACACAATCTAATAATATTTTAAAATTAAGAAAACTCAATACATGCTAATCACTAGTTATAAAATTAAATATAAATTTAAGACCTGCAGGGTTATTTTTCTTAAGATAGAGTAGGTTAAGGGTTTGAAAGAAAAATAATTTATGAATGACTTTGTAAAACATGATACCATCACATATTAATAATTCTGGAAATCATGTCTTTTCCTAACAAGGCTTTTATTCTGTCTCTAAACCCTAAAGGTTTTAAACTATTCAATTCACCTTTATTCTTTTTGGGGGGAGGGGTGTCTTGATGGGAGTAAGCCTGCCAGCTGGTTAGAAGCCAACATCCAGTCAGACCTGAATGGAAAAATCTATGATTTGTTTATTTCATAGCTCAAGTTCAAAAGGAAGACACAATTTAAATAATAAAAGGGTAACAGAAAAAAATGTGAAGAGAGAAAACAACTCAGTAAGAGTCCGGAGAACCTTCAGGAATATTTAATTCGGAAAATGTTATTGGTTTAGGGAACTTGACTGAAAGAAAACAGCTGGGCAAAGTTCAAGGTTTTAAATTAAAAACAATCTAACAAGGTCTATGGGGATAACTTTTTGAGCCATATTTTTGAGACCAGATTCATTTCTACCAAGTAGTAATAGCAGTCTAAGCTAAAAGGAAATTCCTCACAACTGAGGTAGTTACTAAATATCAGCAGATTTTCCAAGTTCTCACAAAGCAGCTTAGCTATTTACAATCTATTTTTCCTCATACATAAAATGGAGTGCCTTTTCAATTCGATGTCTTCTGCGATTTGCTTAAAAAAACACACACACCAGCCAGAATATGCCTATTTTATTAACATCATGCTTTAATAAATAACTAGCTACTTCTAATAAAAATTAAGCCTCTGTTTACAACAGCCACCGATATGCCATTCTGACCATTCTGCAGAATTTGGTGTAAAAAGTTCAATGAAATGCAGACCCTGAGCTATCAAATATGTTTCAATATAAAAATAGAGAATTACTCTTACAACTGAGTGAACAGTAATACAAACGACCTCTCAGTGGGTCTTTGGTTTTGTAGAACGTATTGGGATCTCAATGTCTGTCCAGTGTAGGAAGAGACTTGCGGAAATCTAGGATCTCTTAAGACATTTTGGGAAACCTCTTTTAAAGTGATTGGTTCCATTCGCATGGTTCTATGAGTTGTCATTTCGTAAGGACACAAGGAAAGGGGTGCAAAGGGGCCAAGGCAGTTGTCAGTTCTTGGCCCGAAACAGCAGGTAATGGTATTTGCTAGTTCACCCACATGGCTAAGCGCCACTGCTCCGATGTAGACTTCTTGGCTCTACCTTCTCTCCTAACTCCCACCATCAACCTCCAAAAAAAATAATAATCCATATGCAGACACATGAAAAAAACTGGACACCTCGCTCTCCTCCAAGTGGGTTTCTTGGCTGATGAGTAGCACATGCCTGTGAACCTGCTTTATCCAAGGGGGCAGGGCAAGAAAAAGACTCAAATTAGATACCTTATATTTTCTTCGGGAAAAAAAAAATCTGGGATGCAAAACCATATGTAAATACACATGCTGAGACAAAAAGAAAAAAAAAGAGAGAGAGAGAACAAAAACCAAAACCCAAACCCTTTGCTTGAGTATGGACAGCTATTCCCTGAGCCCAGCCCCAGTTCAGGCTGGCCCCAAGACAGTCACCCTGTCAATGGCTGGGCTTGACATCTGGACCACTGTAACTTGGGGACCCAAACGAGGTGCTAGGCCACTTGTTGCTGTCACTGGGACAGAAATTAAAAGATGATCAGTATAGATGTGAAAACTGGCATTCGATTATTGGCTTGTTAATTTGCCTGGTTGTGAAAAATATAAAAACAAAAATCACCCCCAAACCCAACTGTGACCATGTGATAAGCGAGACCTCCTGAACATCTCATCATTCAAGTGAGACAGTATCATGAATTATCTTGAAAATGGGTTACACTCTCAGTATAAGTAGGCTTAAGAAACAGATCTACGTGTGATCTCAGCTTACGGAATTCAACTCAACAGCAACTGTCAGTCAGCAGTCTCTTCTGATCCCCAGCTACTGATGAAGTCCATGCTTCTTTTGTTGATGCTCACATTCTGACAAAGTGACTCCTTGTACCTTTATATTCTCTCCTAACTTAATCATAATCATCATTATAATAAAACCCCAAATCACCTCCATTTCTATGCAGATAAGGCAACTAAAATAACAGGGATAAATGGAAATTTTGCTGCTTGCTGGGCTTTTTCTTTTAATAAGATAACATGATAAATAAAACCTGCTTCTGTACAGCTATTTAATATTTCAGAAATACGTACATGTTACATGCCAAGAAAGGACCCTGGTTTTCTTGTAAGAAACAAGGTGAGACTGTAATTGGAAAAAAAAAACCCACAAACAAAATGAAAATAGAACAAACCAACATAGTGGATAAAATCACAAATGCATAACTAACTACAGTTCTGTACCTACATTGTTAGCCACGTTGAATATGATTGTGGGGAAGCAGGAACCAACTGAATGTACGAATTTCCTTTTACCCACAAACTGAATGAAAACAGTCAGCATTTTTTAAACCAGTGGCCACACAGTAAAAACTGTACATCGTTGTCCATTCATGTAAAAAGCAAAGTCACTAGGGATGGTAGAAAAGTGATAACTGGTGCCTTGCAACTTTTTGATGATGAACGCTTTTTCTCAAAGCGTGAAAATTATCTCCACTCTCTCTGCACAACCAGGAAGAAGATGCAGAAGACAGTGAGGAGGTAGGGTTGTGAGCCAGGACAGGCGCCAGCGCTCTCGGCTTTGTCGTGAGCACTCTTGCCGGCATGGTCGGTGGCATTGTACTCAAGCTCTGACGGACACTGCTGATACTCGCATCCACTCCCACTTCCTTCGCCACTCGTTTCATCACCTATTATATAAAAAAAGGAACAGGATTTCATTTCAGTTGTTCTCATCTTCAACAATAATTTGTACATCAAAACCACCAATGCTTACTGATATCAAAGAAGTCCACATCATTCCCATTGTAAGCGTTCTTCATTTTACTGGTCATAGCCCGAAGAGCCATGATCTGGCGAAGGATCAGTATGTCTGGTTTGCTGGTGTCAACCTGGACCTCTGGGTTATTGCCCTGGTTGGCTAATCCATTTCCAGTCACTGCGAACAGGTATCTAGAATGAGAAGCAATCCAATTAAGGTAAAGCACAAAGTAAGAGAATATCACCCAAGATTTCTGCTGGATTCTAGTCTTTCCACTGGGCACAACTAAATGGAAAAAAAGGAAAACTTTGAAAGATCTAAATATTTATGTGGAAGGCAGAGTTACTGATAGTGAGCAAGAAAAGAGAGCAATCTTCCAATTGCTGTTCACTCCTGCAAATGGCTAGAATTGGGCCAGGCCCAAGCCAAAGGCCAGGAGCTAGAAGTTTCATCCAGGTCTCTCAGACAGTCTCCCAACCAATCACCTGACGCATCTTCTACTGCCTTCCCAGGCCTGTAGAAGGGAACTGAATTGGAAGTCGAGCAGCCAGGTCTCAAACTGGCACTTATAGAGAATGCCAGCATTATCAGTGGTAGCTTAACCTGTTGTGCCACAGTGCCAGCCCCTAATTGAACTTCTTAACAAACCCTAATCTCTTTCTCTTCTGGGCATATGTCCTATTTTTGCATTTGACCATCACGGCTTTTGGAAAAATCATTCCTTTTGTGGAGCTGGGAGTGTGGGGGTGTGGGGAGTTAAAGTAAAATGCTCTCATTCAAGAATGGATACCTGTATCAGTTATTGAGTAGGGAAGGGAAGGGGCATCAGGCAAGGGAACACAAACTTCTGACAGCTGGTAGTTTAAACAGTCCTGCCCTGTTCCTGTCAGGCACAGCCCTGACACAGCCAACTCTGGTGCCTGCTCATGTTTCTGCTGCAAAGTCCATTCTAGAAAGCCTCCATTTGTAGCTGGGGACTGAGGATTTCTCTGAACTGTTGGCAGAGAACACTCGCCCGGGCAGCAGGAAAGGGAGGCACAGCAAACCCGCTCACTGGTGGCAGCAAACCTGCTTTTGCCTCTGCCATTCCAGCAGTCCTCCTCGTTGCCATTTCCCGCAGCCATCCTTTCATCATTGCAAACATTGCTCGGAAGAGAAGACCAGAACTTCTTGGCCTGCTTCAGTTTCTCCTTGACGTCTGTCACCTAAGGAAGACACCATTTTAGACCACCCATGGCCAACACCAAACTACCTGTGGATGTGCCTTTCAGACAGCTGTTGCCTATCTGGAGCATCTATTCTGAGAACTCTGCCTGTCCTTGGTCCTCTGCCCCACCCAGCCTATTTCCCTGGGGTGCCCTCCTCCGTGTGTCCTCCAACATGTGCACTTGTTGTCCCTTGATTGTGACTCTTTACTCTCCATCCATCTTAGGATCTACTGCTTCTGTCACTTGAGGGCTAGCAAGCTTGAAATGCTCTTCTCGCTCTCTGATGAGGCCTTTGGGGAAACCAAGGCATGCCCTATATATCCAAGGTACCCTGTTCTGGCCTCATGATACGCACATAGTAGATATTCAGGAAAAACCCAGTGGGAACTAAAGTTTTCAGGCAAGAGCCTGTGTATTCCATCTACATGTAAGAACCTCCTGAGCCAGCATACGAGCAACACCGATTTACCAACATTCACATTCGACTTGCCCAAAAAACAGTTACACCTTAAAGACCCATGCTTGCAAATGGTCCATTATGAGCAAATATTCTCAGTTCTCAGTGCTTAAACGCAGCCATGCTATCAGAGTGCTCACCAGGCGGTCCAGACTGGTGCCAGCCGCTGTGGTCGGGCGTTCCTCAGGGTGATAGGGTCGGAAACGAGCGCTGAACGTACTTTCAGAGATGGAACGAGAAATCCGTCCCACTGGCAGGGGCTTGGGGGGTCCGCAGCCCTGGAACACCTGCAGCAGAGTAAGCCCAGTCACGTGAGGGTAGTCACATGACAGAGCAGAAGCTTCTGGCTCCCCTTCCCTGTATCCGACTGCATTACCTTCTGTGACACCTGCACACTGTTCTCCTGCATGTTCATAATGGCATCGGAGATCTTGACATCAATGGGGTCCATGACAGACTCAATGTTGAAAGGACCCTCCAGTCTCTCTGCCACCATGAGCATCGCATCTAATGGGAGGTGTGGACAAAAACGACACAGCAGGAAAAGAAAATGGTGAGTTCAGCCTGGGGTAAACAGTCCAACAGTCCAGAATTTTCTTCTGCTTCCTGTGTGGGATGTGGCGGGGGGAAGAATGGAAGGCAAGCACCCTAATTAATTCACCCTTTCGTATCTAGTCACTGGGTATCACTTAGACCTCCAAAGGGTGAAATGGCCTTTGTTCTACAGCCAGGAAACCCAATTGGGAATCTCCCACTGCATACATCCTCCATTCCTTCTCATGTCAGTGACTGTCACTGGATAAGGCCAGAAGCAGTCTAACATGTCACTTCTCCCACAACTTTTTGGTCATGGATTTCATTTACAAGTGTCAGAAATAGAAATGGGTTAAAATCCTGGCCTACCAATTCCTTGCCTTCATTGTTTTCTCCCATGGGACCTATCAGGTCCCTGCGTGCACGGTTGGGAAAGCATTCCTAGGAATCCTGATGATTTTCCAAATGGAATACAAATTTGCACAAATTGCGCTGTACTTGTTTCTTGCTTGTTTGTTGGGTGTCTGTGAATTGGTGCTCACACCTGATACCTATCATGGAAAATCAGTAAGAACTGGAAGCCAAAAATTCCCAAGGAGAAAAAGGAAGATTTATTTGGTCATGATAAGTTTGCAAGTCATTTGCTTCCCCATTCTGCACTAGTGACTTCATGCATGCCAGCTGAGCATCCACCTAAACTTTCCAGGGGAAAGCAGTTTAAACATCAGCATATCAATGAAACAATTTGGCCATCAACCTTTCACCTTCAACCTACAACAAACGCTACCCAACATTTGCAACCTTGGGGTCATTTCTCTAAACTACAATTCCAGTGTCACCAAGCCGCCCCCCCCCCCCATAGATATCCACGCAATGCAATTTTTTTTTTTTTTTGGAAAGTAATAACAAATGAAGTTTCAGATTGCATTGTGGTAAGCACGAATAAAGCGACACTTCTAACCTCTAAGTAAAGGCTGACAGCATGAATATACCATTGTACTAAAAGAGAGAGAAAACTGCTTTTGATGTGCTAGCATAAGGAGACTTTTATAAACAAGTAGAGCACAACTTCAATGTGTTCATCATTGTCAAAGCAATCAGGGTTGTAATGTAGAGAAAGCACATTCCTTCATAAGCCGAGAAGAAATCGCTTGTTCCAAATAAAAATATTGTGAATAGACAGTTAATAAACATCCAAAATGTAGAAGTTTAAACAGGAAAAAAGCAGTGAATTTTGTAACTACTTATTCCCCTAGTGGCCAGGAAAGGCCAGATCACTGATGTGTTTGGGAAAGCCTGAAAGGAAACATAAACCCAGATTCTTCTGGCTGTTTGGCGTCTTTGTAAACTGTGAGCCAGCCCGACATCCACAAGGGCCTGGGAAGGGAGAGTGGAGCTGGGCCTTTGTTGCGGCCGGTGCCATGGCGTTGCGTGTTGCGCCACTGAAGAATGCGACTGAAAATGCACTCGGCCTGCAGCCCCTGGTCTGGGAGTCCAAGCTGCCTCGAACCCCGGGACAAATCCTGACTGGCCATTACTCATTATTCCTCTTCCCGATAAGAAACCCTAGGCCAAATCCAAGGATTCTGGCTGCTTGCATGTTGTGGTTTTCCGGTTGTCGACTGAAGTCACTAGTCCTCTTATTATTAGCGTGCTGTTCAAATGGCTCTCGTGTCCTGCCAGGAACTGGCTGGTGTCCCGATCTGTGGTCCCAATACTGAATGCCCATTGGCAGCAACATGTGACATTAATCGGTTTGATGATGACTAACATGAAAGTTAACACAGCCACAGCATGTGATGGGAAAAAAGTCGCACCTGATTATAAAACTTGAGCTTCTCTAGATACTTTTTTTGCAGGGGGTGGGTGGGGGAGGTGGCAAGGTTGGTTTATGAAAGAAATACAAAGTGTGTGAAAAATGGAATTAAAAGGTAAATTAATTTGATGCAAAAAATTCTGAAATCCAAGTATGTGAGGGATTAAAACAAAACTTCATGGAAAGCTTGGCTTGTGACAAAACTATGTTTGGATTTCCAAGATTTTTGCAGAAACATAAACATAATCTTTTCTTCTGAGAACTTTTTGAAGTGTTTTCAAACTGAAGGTTTCATGTACCCGGCCCCTCCTACGAAGCTGAGCTCCAAGGTGTTTCAACTCCTTGAATTCCTCCAGATAAAGATGGACAGGATTTCCCTTTGTACTAAAAAGTGAGCATTCCTGGCAGTCTGCAGGTGCAGTTCAGGGGACACAAAGCAGGGCTGGGCAGCAAGAAAGCAGACTTGCAAAACCCATCCTCTGGCTGGTAGAGGCCGCATCCTCCTGCAGGATTCCAGCACTCAGCATCCTAAGCATTGAGTGGCTCCCCATGGCCCCCAGCAACAAAGGCTTCCCCTCTCACTAGGGAAAGGGACTCCTGCTTTGTGCCGCCAATAATCAGAAGCCCACATCTTCAGCCGCAGGACCTGACTGGAAGAACAAAAGGCAGTTTCCCGACTTAACCCCAAGAACTGATTTAAAGAAGTGGGGCAAAAAAAAAAAAAAGACCTTGACCATTCATTAACTGAAGTCATTTAAAGGGAAAAAGAAAAATTCTTTGCAAAGGAAGAGACGGGGGGGGGGGGGAAGAATCTACAGCAGAGGCATGTAAATTGGGACTGAATTCTGTAACCACAGAGTAGATTAATTAAACCCTTGTGAAAAATTCATGAAAAAGCACTGCAGATTAACAATGTCCATTATGGCTTGTCTTTTATATCAGCTTACTAGAAATAAAGAATAGCATGCCAGCTAAAAGGGAAGTTCTGCTACAATTATATAACCTCATCCCTCCAAAAAGTATCGTTTAAAATACTTGGGGGGAAATTCGATTCAGAAATCCTATCACTTACCATTTGGTTTGAATTATATTTTTTGCAAGACAACAAATGTAATTTCACAACACAAAACAAAAACAACAGCAACTAAAGGTCTGGTTTTAGAGTAAATAGTTGCAAACACTAATGAAGTAAGCCAGAGCAGGGTTCTGATTTACAGGGACCTGTGAACTCTTGAAAAAAATACGTAGGAGAAATTAGTACGTTAAGACAAGAATACGAGGACTTGAGGGACAGTTTCTGCTGGAAACGTGAATGACAAAGGGTTCAATGGGTATGCCCCTCTGCGTTTTATGCCTGATGTCTTTGGGGCAAAGCTGGAATACAGCATCACTACCATATTTTGGGTAGATACGGCAAATTTTACTATTTTGGTTGGAAAGAGCACATCCCAGGCAAAAGGTAAAGGGCTCACCAACTTTGCATAAAACCTCTATTTAGCAAAAGTGAATTTCAAAGTTGACATTTGGTGTGGAGACAAGGGTAGGATTAAAGAGAGAGAGAAACAAAAAGAGAGAGAGAGAGAGACAGACAGACAGCAAGTTTTGATCTGGAAATGTCACGGGCTTTTACTTCCAGGAGAAATAAATTGTGAACAGCAGTTCCTGCCCTGGCTTCATTCGGAGCATGATGTGCTGCCATTTGTGCCTGTGTGTCTTTGCTGGTCTTATGCCTTCTCTTTCATTGGATTCTGCTTTACTGTGCGCAAAGGAGGTTTTTTTTATTTTGTTTTGTTTTTTTCCCCAGGTCTTCTAGCTTTGAGGTATTTAGGCTACAATTGTGCTGAAGCGCTTAATATTCACATCTCCCCCCACCCCCCGTGTCAATGTTCTTAGGAATCTGTTGGAGCCAATTTATTGATGCACTTTCAAACAGAGTTAATATGGTAATTAGCTCTCATGCAGACTAAAAAGCATTCCCCAACACTCCCCCCACATCAGTGTTAAAAAAAAGGCCAGCAAATTGCATGCATGTTCCCATGATGTGAACAAATAAGTGAAAAATAGGTGCTTATAAAGACACTCAAATTTTGCAATTATGTAAATGTGACTGGGGGTGGGGGAGAGCGCAACCAGTGTGCACTGTTGGTACCTGTGCACAGGACCATGACCACTCAGGACCAGAGGCTCCCCAATGTATCAGAAGTAATTAGATTCGCTAATAAGACATTAAGGAAGTTGATGGTGGGCCATTCATATAAGTCCTAATATGTTGTTGCCCCCCCCCTCCATCGTTAACTTTCTCCAAAACTGGCCAGTCCATTTACACTACCATCTCAAATCCAGTAGTGTTTTTCTAGGTGGTAGACATAGAAATATTTACAGTTATCAGGACCAAATTCCTTCCATTCTTACCAGAGCAGTCTGCTTTGGCTAAATCCTCTACACAAACAGAATTCCTAAACTTCCACAGTTGGATTGCACCTGATCCACATAACAGATTGCTATCTGGCCGGTCTGTGGGAGATTTGGTTGTAGAGTAATAGAACATGTTTGAAGCTGCTTTCACAGCTCCCTGAAGGCTGTACTCCTCATTGTATGTGAAACCAAGTCCAAGATGCATAACTCAAACTGACCTTTTGGGGAAAAAGATCAAAAAGGCACTTTCTTGTTATTAAAATTTGTTAGTCACTGTATGCACAGTTTCTCCAGAAATGCCAACAGTAGCTGGTTTGCAAACACTAAATGACTAATGTCATAAACAGGAAGCTCACAGTGAGCAATTACAGCATTCCTTGTTCACTGCTAGAGCTCACCTATGAAATTGTTCCACTCCAAATCGAGATCCCCTTGGTTGGCCAAACAGCCTCTCATGATGTTTGAGCAGTAGTTGTAACAGGGCTTCACGGTCACCAGACCCCGGCAGTGAGGGCAGTAGATCATCTTCAACAGGGCGTGGGTACACGGGGTTGTGGGATTTACCTAATGTGCAGTGGGGAAAAAAAGAGAGTAGTGATGGAGCTGAAATACACAAGGAAAATCAAGTCTATCAGGTTGACATTGAAGGCTTGCCCATACATTTGACAATGAATCGTGAATAATCATGATTACCAGGCCTAGCCAGTTTCCTGAAGAGGTAAAGTAGATTGATTTTAGAGAAGGGGAAGGGGTGTCCCAGTGAGACCCCAATGTGCCAGAATACAAACTCTTATACCTTTTTTTCCTCCTTACTTACTTCTCAGGGTGTATTTCTCTCTCTCTCTCTCTCTCTCTCTCTCTCTCTCTCTCTCTCTCTCTCTCTCCTCATATACACACTCAATTATTGCAAAGTGTTCTGACAAATCACTTTGCAGAACAGGTTATCACATATGGTAGTGGAAGCTCCCTCTCCTGCCAACCATAGGTGAGCTGTAGTGGCCTCAAGGATCACTATCTTTGCCAGACTGGAACACAAGCGCATCTTCTCTTTGACTCTGACTATATGACTGCCTTTGGAACCTTAACAGTGCTCTGTTCTGTGCCAAGAGCTGGGCAGAAAGACAAAGTTAATGGATGTATTCTTCAAGGTTGAGTATGAGGAATGTCAAACTGGGGAATAGCTGGAACACTTCTAGGGACTGAAGCCGGGAACACTTGATGGTAGAGGGGACACTACAGTTAGATTTTGGAGAAGGGGTTGGATTGAACTGGAGAAGTGAAGGAAGAACAACCCAAACAAGAATAATCAAATCAATACTATAGCAGAGTGGACTGGCATATCCTGGCATCCCAAAATAGGGCTGAACAATTGTGGGGAGTATTGTTCGAGGCAAAGGTATGTGCACAGGACCAGAATTTAGTGTGGTATGAACACCAGGCAGAAACTGTGAGACGCCATATGGCAGGACATGCGGAGTTGCTAAAAGTATATGAAGCGGGTAGGTGTTCAGTGCAGCAAGTAACAGACACCTACACCCAACATCAGAGGGCCCAACTCCAATCCCAATTACAACTCAGGATATATGTGTTATATCTATATATATCCTGAGAGCTAGCAGGTGATACCCGAAGTACTAAAGCTCTTCCCATTCATGCGAGAGATGCAGATTGAGTTCTGGACTTCTGGCTTTGGCCTGGCCCAACCCTGGCTGTCCCAGGCATTTGGACAGTAAACTAGTGAATGGAAGCTCTCCCTGTCTGTCTGGCAACTCATATCGGTGCTGGTTGGAGTTCTGGCTGCTCAATTTCCTATCCAGTTCTCTGCTGCTGCATCATGGAAAGCAGTAGAAAATGTCCCAAATCCTTGAGTCATTGCACTCACGTGGGAGACCCAGATGAAGCTCCTGGCTCCTGGCTTTGGAGTGGCTCAGCTCCAGCCATTGTGGTCACTTAGGGAATGAACCAAAAGAAGGCCTCTCTCTAACTCTGCCCTTCAAATAAATACATAGACCCTTAACAAAAAAGCCTATGAGGAAGAGAAGTAGCAAGGATGACAACAGCGTACAGTCAGAGTAGGCTATGTGTCCTGTGCAGAGAAATACGACCTATTTTCATCTTTGTGGCTCAATACTGTGAACTTGCTTTGGGTGCAAAAGCACTGATTATATCTTGTGACTCACTTCCATCAATGGTTAGAAAGAAGTATCGTGGCTCATTAAAAGTTCCTGTCTTCTTAGAAACAGGAAACAGGCATTGAGGATGCACTTATAACTCACTGGGTGGGACACAAAGATTAGTTACTCCTCACTAGGGTATTGAAGATTTCTCTGCACACCCCTCCTAAAACTGTTCACCCAAACTGTTGACATATGTTTTGTTACAGTTATAGAGTTAGACTACCCAAAAAACAGCCAAGTTCTGCAAAATCTTGCTTCAACGCTATAAACTGCTAAATACTAAAATTAAAATAGACAGCTGAATAGTAATCTATAGCCATTTTAAGGTGTATAGAACCAAGTTGTATATAAACTAATAATTGTAATGTCAATGTAGAAGTCATAGGATGTGGTTCAGAACTTGCACTCTTTTTTTTTTTCCTCTCTCTCTCTTTTAATATGCTGGTTACACAATATCATGTCAACTAATTCCATTTCATTATAAATTGTTACTGATGTAATGTTGGGGCTTTTAATTGATTGGGATGATACTCTGTCGGTTCTACCTTCAGACAAGAGACTTTCTCCCCAAGAAACTGTTGAACTTATCCGGACAATAAGATGCTGGACTCTATGCTTTGCAGATGCTTGCAAGGAAAGAATCCCAACTGAATTTGAACTGTGGTAATGCAACAAGAATCCACCATGGTGGGGGGGGCGGGGTTGGGGAGTGGAGGGGGGAATCCCAGTGCCTATAAAACTGTGTCACATAATGCAATGTAATCAATTAAAAAAAAAAGAAGAAAGAAAAAGAAAAAGCGCCCGGCGCGATGGCGCAGTAGTTAAGGTCCTCGCCTTGCACGCCTGGGATCCCACATGAGCGCCGGTTCTAATCCCGGCAGCCCCTCTTCCCTTCCAGCTCCCTGCTTGTGGCCCGGGAAAGTAGTCCAAAGCCTTGGGACCCTGCACCCGCGTGGGAGACCCAGAAGAGGCTCCTGGCTTCAGATCGGCATAGCATCGGCCGTTGAGCTCACTTGGGGAGTGAATCATCGGATGGAAGATCTTTCTCTCTGTCTCTCCTCTCTGTATATATCCGCCTTTCCAATAAAAATTTAAAAAATAAATCTTAAGAAAAAAAAGAAAAAAAAGTTCCTGTCTTCATTCTGTCTGTCCTACCCTCCTTTCAAAGTCAGTATCAGAGGATTAGTGCATTCCTCTCTAGCAGTACTAACCAGTTATGCAAACTTAAAATTTCAAAGCAAATACCACCACAAGGAATAGATGCTGGGATGTGGGACAGCCCGTCAATGAACTTCGCCTGTCAACGAACTTCACTTGCCTTGGAGTGTTACTCTGGTTACCACTTATCAACAGTTCCCTTAGGAACAGGAACAGTGGATTAGTACTGTCAGGAGAAGAACTCAACACGATCAGACTCCTCTCTGATGTATTTGTGTGCATTTTCTCTCTCATCCCAAACAACTCTAGCCTAAAAGCATGCAACAACAAGATGGTAATCATATCCACTAAAGTCAACATTCTCAACGAAGGATTAGGATTTTTCCACTGATTTAACCAATCCCAAATGTTTTCTAGGCATTAAATTAGTTCTACTAACTATGTATTAATGTAGTCAAATCTTGGCTCACCAATATCCTGGAGGAATGGCCCTCCAGAATAGCTAAAAGAGCACTCCTTTAAAGTCACAGATCATTATAGAGCTTTTGATACTGGTCCACCACTCATTTTACAGATGAGCAAACAGGCGTGGAGATGCGAAGTAACCCAACATCTTAGGAAAATGGAAACCTCAGAACTGGAAGGGCACCTTAGAGATCCTCAAGTTTTAGTGTCATGCTTAAGGGGTAAGAAGATTGGCATGGGCATTTGGTACACTGTCTAAGATGCTGCTGTGATGCCCACATGCCATGTTGGACTGCTTGGTTTCAAGTTGGGTTATACATGGGATACCAGCTTCCTGCTAATTCACACCCCAGGAGATAGCAAAAGATGGACCAAATCTTGAAATTTTTTGCCAGACCCAAACTGAGTTCCCACTTTCTGGTTTCCGTCTGGTCCAGTCCGCTTGTTGTGCCCATCTGAGGAGCGAATCTGTGGATGAAAAACCTTCCTCCCTCTCTCCCTCCATCCCTCCCTCCTTCCATGTCACTCTGCCTTCCAAGTAAGCCTTCAAAAAGGAAGGTTTTTTTTGCCAAATAAGTCATTTTTTATCTTTTCTTTAATAACTCCAGCAAGAAATTCATTGTACTCTTAGTTCAACAGCAAGCCCTATTGTGTGTGCAGTGGACCTTGTGGTACTCTCTCCAATAACATGGTGATGGAGGTTCAAGTGTTACAGAAACCAAACTAAATGACACAGAATCTTGCTTGAAAAGATTATGAAGCTTGATTTGGCAGAGTTTTCCATTTCATTCTTTTGCTAAGTACTGACTTGGGCTCTGCACATGATGTGTTGTATAACAAGTAAAATGATTATAAGGAACACAGCTATAGCATGCTAGGGAAACACTGTGCAAAATGCTAGGGACTCAAAAGAGATGCAGGAACAGTAAGAACAGTAGAATGAAAAGGGACATGTGAAATACCAAAGCTGGACATAAATCTGTCTTGCATCTTCCAGCCACTCATCAGACCACCCACCACACATCATTTCATAGGAAGGGAACTCAGAATCGGGGAAGCAAATTCCTTGTGTGTAATGAGGCCTTAGTAGAAAAAATGGTAAATTTTTTATGTATACAGTCCATGCAGAGACAGGAATCCCCCAGTGCCTCAACTGCCCAGGAGAGGTGTCAACAATGCTAGAAGCTCACAGGTTTGGGGGCCCCACTCTCACTGACCTAAACAAACTCTGGAGAATAGACTGAAGATGCCCAGGACCCACTCTACACTATGCTCTCCTGACCCAAGGACAGCCTTGCTCCCAACAGCAAAACATCAAGCTCCATGTACATACAGTTTTAATATATGTTCAGCTCTCCCCTGAGTTCTTTACATATACTGAGCCTTGATCACGCAAGGTATGAGTATCGCACTTGACAGATGAGGAAACATGCCCAGAGACTAAGGGACTTGCATAAAGCCTTTCAGTAAAGCAGTAAAAATGCAAATCCATCAGTGTGGGTCTAAAATATGTGCACTTGACTTCCTTAAGGGTAGCACATGGTTCTGGTCCTTCTCCTTACCTCCCCATACACAGAATGGCATCCCTACACACAGTAGGATGGGACTACAGGGCTGGATGTCTGCTGAGGACAGTTTGTAGTTTTCAAAGTCTACTGCCTGAAGTAGCTTGATTTTATGCTGGAGGGTAGACATCAGCATGCAAGAGTTCTTCCAAGGCCAGCATTGCACTAGACACTCAGAAAGGAAGACTGTTGTTTGATA